CACTGTTTGTACTACGTTATTTTTGCAAAATGTTTAAATACAACATATTAATTAACCAAATGCAACGAAGCAGTATATGGAGACTCCAAATTGAAAAGTTTAAATTCATACTTTAAAACAAATAAAATTGATCTAAAACTTATTATAAAAATTTGATCCAAATATTTAGATTAGAGAGAAAATCAAAAGGGAATTTTATTTTAATTTTAGTTGCACAATATAAGACTCTCCTATATCTCTTAACCTATCCCACAACTTAAATTCAACCTCTTTTTTTTGTTAAAAAGATAGTACTACTTCTATATCAAAACAAACAAGCTTACGCTAAATATTATTATTATTATTATTATTATTATTATTATTTTGGCCTTTATCAAGTTAAATGATAAGTAGCTTTTTAGTAGTCTAATCTCCATTTTTCTCAAGTAATTGAATATTGAAGACTTGAAAGGATTATGAAGGAAACTTTCTAAAGAGGATCTTAACGAAATTTGAAAAGATATTATATAGACCTAAATTATTGGAGAATCCAGAACTAAGCATCCAATTATAACTAATCCATTCTAGAAGCAGATCACAGGATTCCATTAAATATATGCCATCTGTCTGAATAATGTTTTTCTTTTTTTTAATCTAAGCAAGCCAAACACATGGATGTAGTTATAGCCACCTAACACTTTGTTAAGAACATATAAATTTTAACCAATGACCTATGAGTTCGAGTGGGAGGAACTCGGTTATTTTTAAACAAAGTTTCGAATTTGAATATTGTGAATAGAGAAACAGGTGTTAGGAGAACTTTTCCCTAATGAGGTTCGACGCGACTAAATTATGGATTAGTCAGACTCAATGTAACTACCATATACCGGAAGGTTAATACCAAAAAAAAGAACATATAAATGTTGTTTAGTTTAATTAATATTTGTAACTTTTTTAAAAATAAATTATAATATTTAAAAATATTAATTTATAAATTATTTTAAATTATTAAATAATAAATATCAATTATTTTATTAAATATTGATTATTCTTAATAATTAAATAAAATAAAATCAACATTTTTTAAACATTGTTATATGACCTTAACCAATTAATGGTAGCCAATCAGTGGCGGAGCCACATTATGCCAGGGGAGGGCCACGGCCACCCCTGACCTTTCAAAATTTGTTAAATAAGTTCTTGAACTTTTTAAATTTATGAATAATGCCCTAAATTTTTGAAAAAAATATGTGTTAAGTTAATTATTTGAGATATAACTAAAATATATTCATTATTATGTAAAAGTGAGTGAAATGCATGGCATAATTGAATTTTGACATTTGAAATTATTTCAATGGAATTTTTGAAATTATTGAAAACCCTTATTGTAAAGAAATTCAATTTTGATATCTAAACCCTTCTCTCGAAATTCATCATTCTTTATTCCTTAATAGCTCTTGTTCTCATACATAGTTATTCTCTTGGCTTCTCCAACATTCTACTTTTCCAATTTGCATTTAAAGACTCATTTTCTTAAAAAATAATTATTTCACCTTTAAATGCTTAAGACAAATAAAGTCATCACATTAGAAGAATTCTTTGAAACAAAAAAATTACCCCGTTAAAAAAAAAAAATTACCCTATTGGAAGATTTTGGCTTTCCTTTAATTTCACTTGAATGTTATTCTGATAGTCATCAATTTAGCATAGTGCCTCTACATAATCTTGTTGAAGTTTTCTATATATATATATATTTCACTTTTCAATTTTTTCGTTTATAATATTGAATGGAAAGATATTCCTTCTCTCATTCTTTTGACAATTCTATTAAATAAATATATATTTTTTCAATTATAGTGAGTCAATAACAAATTTTGTTGTGTGGTCATTACCTAATCTTAAGTAAATATAGTTTTTACTTCTAAAAAATATCTCTATTTACTTGAGATGATTGTCGTAGTGCTATATTTGTTGCTTTTTCACCAACTAACTAGCAATTGATATGATAATTTCATAGAAAATATGATAGATATTAATATTTTAAGTAGTGATTTTGTTTGGTAGTAGAATTTAAATACAAATAAGGGCATTAATTTTAAGTACGGTCTCTATATTTAAAGTATATCACTTCTGTTTTCATAATGTGAGTGTTAATTTCATTTACAACTCACAATTTTTGCTAAATCTATTATATTTGACATCTGCAAATCAAATTTAGAGTTTACTTGTCTAAGTTCATTTTTTTTTTTAACTTTGCAATTGGCCCCTGACTTTTTTTAAATCCTGACTTTGCCATTGGGAGCCATAACCACAATCGAAACACACACCTAGTATTCTATGCCCCTAAAAACAAACAAAGAAAAAATAATATTCAGAAAAGGAAAAGAATGAAGCGCTAAAAAGAGAATCAATGAGAAATGAAGCCAAAAGAGAGAAGACCTTCCGCTAAAAGGAGACTTTTTCACACTGTCTTTATGACTAATTCACAGGAAAAAAAATGAATAACTTCTAATAAGAGGCAGATGAAGGCGCTCCCACATGATACAGTGCAATTTATTGTGCTAGCTATTTTTAGATTTTTATGAGTAAAACTTTTTTATTTTTTGGCCAATAATACTATGAGATTAAAACTTTAATTTTATGTTTTACCAGTATCCTATACAAATATAGGGGTCTCTAAATATATATACTCCCTTCATTTCAAAATAAATATCATTTTTGTCAACTTTTCCCTCAAATTAAGAATTTATAAATAATTTATATATTTACTTATATTACTCTTAAAAACTAAAAAATAAAATAAGATCTTCTGTAATAGAATGATTAATCAAAATAAGTATATAATAATATAATTAAAATAAAAATATTTATTTATCTTTAAAATTAAAAAAAAACAATTATTTTAAAACAGTAAAAATAATTTTCCAAAGGCGAAGGTCCTTCGGAGCAAAATTCACTCAACCCTTTAGTTGGGTTTTGTACCGTGTGAATTAATGCGCAATACCGTGGTATTCCAGTTGTAAGATATTTTATATGAGTTTTTGGTTTCTTTAGATGGGATTGCCAAAAGTAAAAAAAGAAGGAAAAGACAAAAAAAAAATATATATATATATATATATATATATACTGATACCATCAAAATACTTTGAATGAATTAACATTTAGAGAAAAGATTCAAGCATTATTTGAAAATGCTTTCCGGTGTTTTAATTTTTAATTTTCATATTTTTTTATTATTTTGAAATATATAAAATATTAATTAAAATAAATATTAAATATATTTTATATATTTCTAAAAAAGTTTTAAAAATCTACTACTATAATTATACGTAAGGACTGTTAAACCAAATCTCATTCAAATTTAAGAAGCACGTGGACCAGGGAGTCAATGAAGGATGAGAAGTGAACTACCTCATGTATTTTGAAATCTAAATAGTCTATTTGATACCAAATAATAGTTATTTTTTTACTATATTTATGGATTAAAAATTTGTAAATAATTTATATTTTAGTCTATATAATTAAAATTTAGAGAAAACAATAAAGTTAAAAAATATTTTTATTTGTCTTAAAAAATAAAAATTATTTGGGACAAATTTTCAATTAAAAAATTATTACTATTATTATATGACATAGATAATACAAGACAAAAACTTAAAAATAAAAAAAGATACTTTATATATATTGAATTGCATAATTAAAGGCAATAATCATATATCCTTAACCCACCTCATCTATATATCATGCGACTTAAAATTAAAATTTATTTTCTTCACTAAAATAAAATTATTACTAAATTATTTAATTTATTGGTAAAACAAAAGATACCTTAAAAGCTTATTTGGTTTTAAAAATTAAAGGAAAGATTGGTTTTCTTGTTCAATCAAAGTAAGAGTTTGACCCAATATTTTAATTTAATTAGATAAAAAAAAATTTCTCCTTCCTTTTCTCCCCTTTATTTCACAAAAATCAAACAAAAATTAATAATATATTTGATTTAAAAAAATAAAAAAAAAAGAGAGAAAGAAGAGAAGAAAAATAAAAAAATACGATATCCTTTTGTTTCCCTCCATTCCCCTCTTGATATCCTTCCGATTCTCTCTATTCCCCTCATCTCCCCTAACTCATCCTTTTATTTGTAAAAGAAAAAAGTAAAATATTCCCATCTCCTCCAAAATCTTACGAATCAAAAAAAGAATTTATGCCCCTCCCCTTTCCTCGAACCTTACTTATTGTAAAGATTGAAAGTTAATTTTAAAAGGAAAATAACAATCATTAATTTTTTTTATAAAAATATTATAATTACAATACTATATAATATTATAAATTTATAATATAATGTATTATTATATAATTAATTTTTTATTTAAAAATTTATCCATAATATAATATACATTTACTCATTTAATGTTATGTAAAAAAAAAAAAATACTCCTACATAATTACAATTTTACGTAGTGCTGCAAGTGTAGTATTCCCAAATTTTCTTTAAATATTTTTATATGTTTTGTATTATTTGCATCTATGTATAACTCATTACGTACTTTGAATTTATCTTAAAATAACCTCTTTTTTTTTTACTTTAACCTTTTTTTCTTTGGTGCATAAAAAAATAAGTTATATAATAAAAAGTAGATCTCACATTTCCAAACTCTTATTTTCTACTAGTTTATAATTCAAATTTGAGATTCTTAATATAAACATTTAACTACTCATGAAATGTCCCATAGGAGATCATACTTTAACCTATTATAATTTATCTACTTTAAATACATCTTATCACAAAACTTTTTTTTGTATATTTTTAAAAAATAATATAATTAAACATATAAATTATGCCAAATCCTTAATTTAAAAGAAAAAACACAGAGACAAAAAATTATATTGGAAGAGAGGAAATAATAAATCAGATTTATATATAATGAGCGTTTTTCCAATTAAAGAAAATGCCTAAAAGAAACATCTACAACTTCCACGAAAAAATATACGGTATAAAGAATTTTCCCAAAAAGTTATTTTTTAAAATAAAAGATATCATTAATAACATATAAATTGAACTGTACCGTTTAGGAAGTTTCGTGGAAGCTGCCATGGAGCAACTGACTTCCCCACGATTTAAGTTGCTGCATCCCCTCTCTTTCTACTCAATCTTCTCCCTCTACCAACCAATTTTCTGTGCCCCACAGCGATGAAGCTAATCACCAAACTCAGCCCCAAGCGCTTCTTCCGCTCCAAGAAGAAGGATCGTGTTTCCAGATCCGATCCGTCCTTGTTCAGTTACGGCACCTCCTCGTCCTCCTCTTCCGATACCTCCTCTTCCAACCACAAGCGCCGCTTTGCAGCCACCGCGGTCGATTTCGGGACCCCTACCAGCGTCTTGCCTGGTGATTGGTCTGACGATATCTCCCCCGATGCGTATTCCGAGCTCGTGCAGGCGTTTAAGACTATTGACAGAGACAGCGATGGCGTGGTCTCGAGAAGCCAGCTTGAGACGCTGCTCAGTCGAGTAGGGGCGGAGCCGCCGAGTCAGGAGGAGGTTTCCATGATGCTGAGCGAGGTGGACGAGGACGGCGACGGGTCTATAAATCTGGACGTGCTCATGAACCGGGTGGCCGGTTCGGTTTGCGAACCAGCTGGCGAACCAGAGCTGAGAGAGACCTTCGATTTCTTTGACACCGATCACGACGGGAAGATCACCGCGGAGGAACTCCTCGCGGTTTTCACTGCGATTGGCGACGATCAGTGCACTTTAGAGGACTGCCGGCGCATGATAGCAGGTGTAGATAAGAACGGGGACGGGTTTGTCTGCTTCGAGGACTTCAGTAGAATGATGGAGTTGCAGCGATAATAAATCATGATTATGATGCTAAGTGAGTTAATAATCATGTATGGTTTGCTCTTGATCATTTTTTTTCGGAGTTTATTTTCGGATATGTTTTTTCCTTCTTTTTTTTTTTTTTTTGTAATTTTCTTTTTTAGGTTTGGACTTGGTACTTAGATTTGAGATTATTTTGTGAGAAAATGTGTTTATAAGGTAAATAAAAAAAATTAATTTCTGCATTAGTTTGTCGAGTGTTTTATTTATTTGTTTTTTAATTTCTTATTTTTCTATCGGAAAATAGAGCACTTTCAAATGAAGGCCCTAAATTAAATAGTTTTTCATATTCAACCTCTCTTGTTAATGTAAATGTGTCTAAATTTGAGTATGAGTAAGCTCGAATCAAATACATAGTTTGTGGGGTGGATTTAGCTCTGATTAAGCTATTCCAGTTTTGTTGGAATCTGGCTAACAGGGTTGCTGATTACTTAGCTAAGAATGGAACTAATTTACATCCTGCTGTTATTATGTATGTTTCTCTTATTTGCTGTACTGTGATGTTATTTTGGGAATGTTCTTCACAGGACAGTTGTAACTGTTTAATTCCTAATGTTATTCTCTTATTTACCAAAAAAAAAATGTTGGAGCCTAATTGGATTTATAAATTCTTAGATTTAGATTGTAGCCAAACTGGATTTCTGGCATATACTCTGCTTGGTTTATTGATTGCTGGTGAAAAAAAAAAAAATAGAGGCTTTGTTTAGTTTGGCTGTTTGTTTATAATTCAACCATTACCAAGGTAAACAAAAACAAAGAAAAAAAAATTAGAAGGGTTGTATTTATTTCAAGTGGAGC